TATGATATGTTCTATGTAAATTTTCAAATCCTTAGCAGGACCTAACTGCAATTCTGAGACATGCTAGAAAGCATATACAAATTGAATTTCTAGAAAATCAAACTATTTTTGAAAATATTCATATTACTAACAAAAGGATATGTCAACTGTATGGATATGCTCTGGATGAATTTTTTGCAGACATTGGTGTTTCCCCTGGATCCAAGATCTATGTTGTTTATCAGAGATATGCTAATGTAATTCAGTTATTTCATTTTAGTTATGATAGATGCCAATGGCTTGCAGTAGATTTTAATGCAAACACTTGGAACCGTTATCTTTTGAGTTTAAGTCATAACACAGCCAAACAATCTGTAAATTTAATTAAATGCGTTTGCAAGAAATTTTTTATTTTTTTTCTTGGATCTATATATAAAAAATTAGTTCAAAAATCTTAATTCAAAATATTTTGCATGAACATGGATTTTAGGTTATTGATAGACGCTCCTTTACGAGATTAGATTAGTCTTCAGATTAGAATATAGCAAGTTTATTGATCTTAAGTACAATCAATGGGATTTCATGATATATAGGGAAAACAATGAAGCAGCAGCAGGTTTTGAAGGCCCTACATGGGAAGATTTTCATGACTTTACTATAATCGGCTGAACTTTCATGTCATTCTTATTTATACTAAAAACCTATACTCTCATTTACGGGCTTTCAACACCGAAGGTTATTGTCGCAACCTTGACATTGTTGATTCAGACACATATGATGGTTTGTTGATATTACTTTTTATGCATAAATTCATTATTAGATGCAAAAATTCCATTGTTTACAAGTCATTACTAATATAAATTTTGAAACATGTGAGGTTGACACAATTGACTACCTTCGTAGCAATGGTGATCATGACTAACAACCTAACTCATTGGGGTAGTCTGGTAAGAACACATTATCTACCATTGATTTGATACAGTTTAAGTTATTTATATGTGGGCATAAAATTGATATCGGTCCACTTCGTGTCATCAGAGGACGTATGCTTATTTTATTATATGACCTTGACGGAAATACCATGGCACACAGTCACAAGATTGGAGTTAGAAGACTACGTTAGTGTCATTTTGTACTACGATGGAGTTCCTGTAATCATTAGAACAACGTATTGTAACATCAGACAGCCTATATCGCTTTGTTATTGAATGCGACCCCAAATACATGATGGCTCTAAAGAAAATTCTTGTGAGTATAATATTGGGGTTCCATATAGATGCTTGCAAGGTAGCTAATAAGGAATACTTGATCCTGGAAGTTCTATAAATGTTTCAACAGTTTAGTTTTCTAATACTATGAAAACAGTGGTTCTGTAGTCTTTTTGTTAGTATTATTGAATCATATTTTGCAGTTCAAGGCTTCCAGCTCCTATTTGCATATTATTGATCAAATATTATAATAAAAGTAGGTTCATTTGTCATTTGATACATATGTACAAAACAAAACAGAGTAATAAACAGTACCGAAACCCCTATTTTAAAAATGGCCAAAAATGAAAGAATGAATTATATTCAAAACAATTCATTCACCAACTTTGGAAAATATCTTTTTAAATTAAGTCTCAAAGAATAATTAATTAAAGTATTTAAAAATTACACATTACTGTATGTATGATATCTTATGTCCCATCACTTTAGGCAAATTAACAGATAATTATAATAGTGAAATCTTTCGTGATAATCACCATAATTTTATAGATAGATAGTTCAACCTTATCAAGTATTATGATCTCAGTCTATAGATCTACGCAAACACCTTCAACCATACAAATTTTAGACTATGCTCTCTGTATGATTCAATTTACGTACTGAACAAAATTGTAAAATGGATAATTTGACTGCTAAAGAGGACAAGTTGTTGAGAAATCATATATTACAGAAAAAAAAAAAGAATTAACAGTTCAACCCCGGAGAAGATATAAGAATATTGTCAGCCCGGTTACAAAAGAACTCAATGACTCTGTCATTACTAAGCATGCAAGGATTGGGAGAAAGCAAATATCATACCAGAAGAGGTTTAATAAGATGTTGACAAGTCAATCAAGTGTAATACTGGATTCGACAACAATCTCAAACGCTAGAGTTTCGAGTGGTATATTTACCGCATAGGTGTTTTAGTATATTAAATATATACAGAATGTCTATACACTACATATGAATTCATATTATTTTCTTAGTTTTCCCGAATTTATAGATTTGTTTTTAAGGTTCTTAAATACATGAGTTATAATGTTCTAATGAGTTTTTTTTTTTTTTTTTTGTTAGAAACTGTTAAGCACTTCAGACTCAATAGGAAAAAATATTTGACAAGAAGAAGGGGAAAGGCATTCCAGAGTGAGAACTTGTTATTAGGGGTGGTGTTGTTATATATGACTCAAATCAGCTAACAAACAAGTTTTCCAGCCATATAATTTCACAATCTATTTCTACTTGCAACGAACATTTAAAGTTATGTGGCCATACCAACAATTTGCAAATTTCAGGTCATATTGTTAACTCTAATTCATCAAGTGTATAACAAATGTTCATTTCCTTTTTGTGTAGAGCACAATAGTAATATTAGCATACCTTCAATATATGCTTCATTGTACAACACGAATGTATAGGCATCATAGCTGCATCTTATGGTATATTGTCTAGAATTCCAACATCTATCCATGAAAGCACTACCAAAAGAAGATTCTACACATTGTGGCCTGGAAAATGCAAAGTCAATCAGAACAATTTATCATACATAAGTGCAAGTATTGTCGATAGAAAACGAGCAATTTCATATATGCGATTTTCAGTGTATAACTTATGTCTATTACATGGTTTAGTAATATATAACATAAATTATGTACAATACGATGATTTGAGAGATCCAATATATGTCTGTGAATATTGCGGGGTTAATATGGGTTATGAAGAAAGGGTGAACAAACAACTGAGACAAACACAACCTAAAATCACCATTTGTTGCAGAAAAGGCAAAATACATCTACCTTTACTGAAAAACCACCTGAGGAGCTTAAAGAGTTGTTCATGTCTAATAATGCAAAGAGTAAACATTTTTTGAAGAATATCCGAACATATAATCATATGTTCACGTTTACGTCTTTGAGTGGTAACATTGTAAATTCAGTTAATGATGGCCGTGCCCCGTATGTATTCAAAATACAAGGTCATAATAGCCACTTGATGGGTAGTCTACTTCCAAAAGATGATTCGAGCGAAAAATTTTCTCAGTTATATATTTATGATACTCAAAATGGAATCAATAACAAAATTGGAACTTTAAGGTACATTTCAATATTCATTTACACTAAAGGCCTATTTGATAAAAATTAGTGCTTAATTTTGAATGATGAATACTCCCTCTATTCACAAATAGATGTCGTTGGATGAATACTACCTTTACATTGGAAATTGTAGTGATATTTAATGTAGAATTGTATTAGAACAAAATGTTATTGGGATTACAATTGTATTAAGAGTAAATAAGGGTATTATAGTATTTTAATAAGATAATTATTTTCTTAAACTTTATGAAATCTTTCCAGTGACATCTATTTTTGAACGTAGGGAGTACTGAGTTAGAAATACTGAATTTATTAAGCAGTTACGGAATAAGTAATAAACTAACTTTTATTACTTATATATTGTACTGCAGTTTTAGCAATACTTAATTCATTAAGAGGTCCATTTTCTATTATCAAACATTCTAAAATGGAAAAATGCTTAATCCAATAATTTTAAACATTAAGTGACTTTATCAAACAGGCTCTAAACTTTTTTTTTTTTTGAAAATAGTGTTACAGCATTCTAACTGAGAAGGTGATTTATCAAATAGTAAAACTGTTAATGTAAATTCTATTCAGGACAAAGTCAAACAATATCATAACAACTAGATGCACAGATTGTAAGCGACATAAAGGTTGCAATGGACGAACGCAACACGTTGTTTAAAACTTACCAGAAAGTACGTGACACTGTTCAGGCAAACTCATCAACTGAAATCAAGTTGAAACTTAGTAGAGACACAAATGGAAAAATAGAACCTACCAACTATTGATGAAGTCACAATATTCTACCAGGCGATGAAAGTAACGAATCTGAAATAAGAGACATCAGTGATCAGTACGGGATTCTGGGCACCCCTAAGTCCATTAATTTATCTCAGAAACTTTATTTAAATCTTCTTCTCTACCTACTATAGTGTAACGTTGATTGTGGATATCTTTAGCGTTTCCAATTATAATAGATTCTTAGCTAAAACGGGTGAATCTTGACATTCCTTTTAGTTATCCATTGTACTTAATTAAAGCAATGAACAACAAGGACACGTGTCATCCTTACATTAAAAATTTTCCCGCCAAAACTACTTTTCAGTACAAAATGAAAAACGCCACGTGGCACATCAGATGAGCAGAAAAATGATGGTTTGAGAAATTTCTTAAGGGATTTATTTAAGAAAATACAAGAAAGAAAAAAACCTATCACAGTTATCTGCCTAAATTTTGGGCTTAAGAATCTGTATCTACCTAAAATTTTGGCCTTAAGAATCAGTCTCATAATTACAGTATATATATCAATAAATGTAAGCTTGATAATAAACAATAAATAAACAAATTAATATTAACAATTTTGCTTATTATAGTACAAAAACACAACGCTAAACATTGTAAATGATTTTCACCCAATTCTATCATGGATCGAGATATCTGTTTCATTCCCTGAAATATGGCTTCATCGTGTTTCTTCCATTTATTGTTGTTGTAACTATACGGTAAACATCAGATAAACTTCCCAAATAACAGTTTTGAATTTTAAAAATTAAATAATCAAATTAAATTAAATAACAATTCAGAACAAGATAATATCCTTACCATCAGTGATTAATTGATTGATTCATCCATGTTTATCTCCTTAACAATCTATAAGTGCATATCTCTTATGCAGTTTTTCAGTGAACATCAGAATCTCAGAGATATGCTTACCTTCAGAATCTCATGGAATTGAATATCACATACTCTGTATAAATACCTTCACAGAGATATGTGATACTCACCAAAATCTGCCACCATTGATTCTCAAGCTCCAATTGTTGCTTCTGTTTTCCATTCAAATTTCCAATCTCCCACTGTTTCTGCAACTCCCATGGGTTCATCAGAAACTCATGTTGTTGATTCTCATAATCAAAACCATCCTGAAATTCCAATTGTTGGATCTGAAACCCAGAATGTTGCTCATGCAATTCAAACAGATACACATGTTGTTGATTCTGAAAACCAACACCATGCTGAAAATCCAATTGCTGGAAATCAAACCCCCCCTAATGTTGATCAGACAGTTCCAACAGTTGTTGCACAAAGGTACATTGTCGACATCAATGGCTTGATACCAACCAAAACTATCCATTTCTACATAGTTGTTAGTGTTATGACCATTTGGAAAATGATAGAGAACAAAAACAAGAATGTCAAATCTGTTGAGTTGGCATTGCTTGATGCTCATGTATTATATTATTTAATACAATTTTTAAATTATTTGATTGATGCAATTCTTATATAATTATTTGTCCAAACTTTTTGAAATATAGGGATCCAAGATTCAGGCGACTATACCTACGAGGATAATGAAAGATTTCCAGAAATATTTCCTTCAAGAGGATCTCACGTTTTGATCATTGCCTGAATATAAGTGAGGGATACCGTTGCTCAAAACACGAATACAAAATTGTATTCCGACCTGACACATTTGGTTCAATCTGTTGGTTACCATGACATCCCTAATTATGTGTTTGAATTTACCCCTTTTGCAGAAATTACCAATTTCGTTGCAAACTTTGACTTCTGTTTTGGTAAGGATAACATCTTTCATATTTGAGTATAATATTTTCCTTATGTATCTTTTAAAAAAACATCCAACTATGATTAATATTCATTCATTTATTTCAGATTTGTTGGGATACATAATTGGTTACAGTGATCCAATTATTGATAATGGTAAGAAGAGGATTTCGGTTGAATTGGAAGATGAAAGGTAAGTGATTTTACCAATGCATATAATTTTTTTACTAATTTTGTTTGTATATTCTTAATCAGTTGAGTATGCATAAGTTAATTGGACTAAATTTAAATTAATTGCAGGGCCAATAGGTTAAAGGTCACATTATGGGATGAGCACGCAGACAGGGTTTATAACATGATGACTAAAAATCCTGATTACCCTGTTGTCCTGATTGTTCAGTACGTGAAATGCAAAAAAATACTACTGTAAGTATATTGGGTTTTAAAGCATAAATCTTTGTTTGTTCACATAAAATTTTAGCAGTTTTAGTGACACACGTATACTCTAATCTGATCCAGCTAAAGTTTCAATCACAACGAATCTGTTCAATGGTAGGATCTTCCTAAATGACGTGACCATTCCAGATGTATACAAATACAAATTCAGGTAAAACAAAATTAATGTCATAGTTTATACAAATAGTTAAATGAAACCAAATTGGAATGGCAAGTAATGAATTTAGCTTCACTGGATTGATCAGGCAGAAATTAGGTCTGCAAGCATCCAAAAGATTTCCCTCCTATCTTCCATTTCAGGATACACAAATTTCGAGGAATTTGTGCATGATGCTGAGATGTTGACACTGGCTAGGATTGATGATTTGGAACAGGTAACATGTTAATATATACTTTCAAACCATACAAAGTAAAATTTTCCAATTTACAATGTGTATTGATTTGTTACCCTGTAATGTAATCGTTTACAGGCTTCTGGTGTTGTTGTTTTTGCAAAAATATCTGGATTGGCAAAAGAGTATGACTGGTCATACATAGGTTGCAGCAACTGTAACAGTAAGGTTGTTGAGATAGAATCATCTGCAAAGGAAAACATCACTGGGGGAATAAAAGGTCGGCCTTTGGCAAAGGTAGAAAGGTAGATAATGAAAAGCTAGTTGGAGTAGCAAAGAAATGGATGTGCAAAAACCATGGGCTTGTTTCTGCTGTCGCTGCGAAGTAAATCAATTTTAGTCACATTATATTTTTCATACTAAAAGTTTACATTATCTATCGCTTTTACTTTGTAAATTTGGTAACTGATGGACAAATTTCATATTCAAGTTGCAGGTGTATTTAGTTGATGGTTCAGGTAGCAGAATTGGTACTCTATGGGACAGAATGGTGTACAACTTCATAAACAAGACCACTTCTGTGCTACGTGAAGAGGTACAAATTAAATACAATTATAGCATTCATTGTTTCTATTCAAGTGTAACTGTTGCATTATTTTCAAGTTATTGATTATTATCTGCTATTCATTTTGTAAAGCTATAACAATATCCCAAAGGTTACCCTGACATTCTAGATGAGATTGTGGGGAAAAAGTGTTTGTTCAAGCTAGATGTCTCAGACTATAACATTAGAAACAACACCAGTGAGATATCAGTTGCAAGGGTTACAACAGATGCAGACGTTATAAGGAAGTACCTTGATGCTGTTTCAGATGATCAGGTTTTAAAAAATAACATATTTTTGTGTAAATCATTATAATTGTTGCTATTGTTTACCAGTCACATTATTTCATAAATTTTTCAGGAAATAGATCCTGAACTAAGTGTCGAGTTCTGCCACAATTGAACCCCATTATCTGAGAGCACTGCTAAGGTATTTAATAAGTGTTTATGTAATGTACAAATAAAACATACATATTACCGTAAGTAAGCAAGTTTGTTGACTTACTATTCCTTATATTTACAGACTATAGTTTCGTACACTGATGATACCGATATTGGAGCTCCTGGAGATGAAACAGGTGAAAGTCCTCCACCGAAGAAAAATGCATATGCACAATGTGGTGAAGAAAGTGTCAAGTCGCACCCCAACAAGTGTGTCAGGAAGCTTTAATCAGAATAAACAATTACCAAGAATTTTATATCTTAATAAAGGATGCATTTTTGAACAATTTATTTCCCTTTACATCATTTAGTTTTCATTGGGAACTTTATCCTTTAAACTGTGTTTTTCATCTGAGACCAGTACACCAGTTAGATTTCATAATTGTGGTTTTAAACTTACTTGTTTATGTTTCAGAATATTATGCCATCTTATATGGCGATTTCAATATTAGCATTATTTGAGCTTGAGAATATTTGTATCCATTTTACATTTCTTATAATTTTTATGTTCCTTATAACAACAAAGCATTACATGCATATTTGCTTTTACTTCCTAATAAAAAGTGCAGGTTTATTTACTTGATGGATCAGGTTGAATTACTGGTAAACTATGGGTATACATGCACTGGTAAGGAACATTGTATGTATTTATATAATGTACATACAAATTGATGGTTTACTTGCAAGTAAAAAAATTTGATTACTTACTATTCTTTATATTTACAGATTTGACTTTTGTGCTCTGAATGTTCTGATATGGGACTTCGTGGAGATGAAACATATCACATTGCTCCACTGAAAAGTTTTGCATTTGCTCAAATTAGCGAATGAAAGTCAATACCAATCCAACAAGCTTCTCACGAAAATTATCTGCAAGTTTTTGTAACCTTTTATTAAAGTATGGATCTATTCATTCATAGCAGATTCATGAATAATAATGTTTAGTTTGATGCTTACTTTTTCAGCCATTTCGGTTGTTTTTCCTGTAACAAGAACACCCGTTAGGTTTCTGAGGTTTGTTTTAAAAATTATACATTTATGTTTTGAAGGTTATCAGTTAATATGTGTCGATTTCACTATATGAATTATTTGTAATAACTTATTGGTTGTGTCCATTTTACACTTACATGACAAAAAGTAAACAAAATAATATGTATACAATTTATATTTCGCATTACTTTTTTATTTAAAAAATATTACACAGTTTAATATCAAATATATTTAGATAACCATAACAAAGAAGGACAGAGTACAGAAAAGTATGATTCTGAAAATCTTAATCAAATATTATCTAAGTTTAAACTGAATAGTTGTCATTATCAACAACTGAATTAGGAGTTTGATTTTAAATATAATTCCTCCTAACTGACTCCTCAGTTCCTAATTTTAAGGTGCCTTAAATAGGTGTACAACATATCCAGACTATTTATATTCAGACATAATGTATCTAGATCGTTACCAAGTTTTTTCTCCTTCTTTTTACATTGATTTTCATTCTAAGAACAGGCAGAACACAAGTTGCCATGGATTTCGGGTACGATCAACTTATTACTGCCCCAACAGACATATGGAGAAAGGGATTGGTAAGTATATAATACAAATTCTGCCTGACTAATATATACTATGTCATCCTGTTTCTAATTTTTTTATTTAACAGATACTTAGCAACCTTACTGCAAATATGAAGCATGTCGGTCAGCAAATAATGGTTGAAGTCCCTGGAAATCGAACTGTGTTTGTAAATTTACATATTAATAAAAAAAAAAAGATGTCAGTTGTGGGGGAATGCTTTAGAAGAATTCTTTACATCCATTGGTGTATCTCCTCACACAAAAATTCACGTTGTTTACCAGCAACAAAGAAAAGTTCTTCAGTTATTTTATTTTTTTAATGATGGAAGACAGCGGCTCACATCAGACCCAACTACAAATATTGGCAGTCGTTACCTTTTGGAATTGAATCCAAACGTTGCCAATCGATGTGTAAGTTTTTGAAAACAGAATTTCATATATAGTATTTTACTTTTAATCTTTTAATATATAGAATTATTTGACATCTGTTCTATCTTCTTCTTGACCTTAGGTTATTAAGACACAGTACTTTAGAGCCATAAATTGGCTTTCAGAACAAAAGCTTTCATTGGTAATTGATGATAATCAGAAGCAGTGGAAGTTTTAGATATATACCCAAGAAAATGATTTAGCAGGTTTTGAAGGCCTTATGTGGGAAGAATTTCATGACTTCTATTTTAACCACTATGAATGTGTAAATGTTATATTGATTTACACTGGAAATCAATACTTTAAAGTAAGGGTATTTAACAAAAAAGGATACTGTTTCAGCCATCATCAGAACACTGTCGGTTCAGACACATCTGAAGGTTTGTATAGGTTACTTATGTTGTTTACTACATTTCATTTCACTTTATATAAATTCATATATCTTTCTATGTGTTTATATAGAAATCTAAACACATGAAATATTTTCTTCACAGGTGAGGTTGACATAATTAACTGCATAAGGTCCAACAGCAATTTGAATACTTTCAATGTGGTTATGACCAATGATATAATTACCAAAGGCCGACTGGTAAAAAAATTTTAACTGTATTAATATTACGTCTTACTTATAATATGTAACAATAGTTTGTTAATTGAATTATTATTTCCTCAACAAGTTTTAATGTACTGACTCAATTATTTGCCACAGGAGATATCATGGCACATTGTCAGAAGATTGGACATTCAAGACTATCAATTATTGATCCTGTTCTACGATGGAGAACCTATTATTAGTATGGTTCGTGCCAGTGCTGGATATTTTCCACATTGCTTCATTGTTCAAGGAGACCTCCAACATATTATGACTTTGAAAAGGATCTCAACTGGTATAAAGCTCGGATTTCGTATAAACGCCCAGAAAGCAGCCAACAAGGAGTCGTTGATATTGGAAGTGCTGTAATCAAGTTGAAGTGTAGTTTTTATTTCAGTTTCGGAGAATAAGTTATTTTATTATTAATAAATTTCAGTACAATCAATTTCCACCTTTATTTAATTTTTTTTTGGATTATTTACTAAAATACTGGAATGTAAATGTTTTTTATAATAAAACAAAAATAAGAACATTTATTTGGTCATAAAACATTTTTTTTATGTCAAAAATGTCACCAATCCATTTCCTACAATTTTTCATATACATATTTAAAATATATTTCACTTTACAATTTTATTCACATCTATAGAACTTAATAATGTTATAGTTTGGAAAATATTTTACTTTATTTAATACCATGAATTGTGTATTTCTGTAAATATATAATTACCATATTTAAAATACCTTTTATTTTACGATTTTATTCATATCCATGGTACATAGTAATGTTATAGTTTGGAAATATATTATTTTATTTAATACCATGGATTGTATAATTCTGTAAATTTGTTATTACCATATTTAAAATTCCAGTCCTTTTTACACTGAATGTTATGGAATCCTGTATTTACTTAATTATAATTGATACTTATCAAAATTTCTTCATCTCTATCATTTACATATATAAGATAAGTTACTCAACCTACATATTCTATACTCCATTGGTTTTTTAAGAATAAGGAAAAATTATATGAACCACGATGAAGATTTCTGATACAAAGGCTGCAAGGCTATTCAGAAAGCAGACATTGGACAAGAAAAGGAATAGAGTTATTCGACCTATAAGATATGTGAAAAGTAAAGTTCCATTAAAATTACCACGAGCTGATCTATTGAGTGCTAAGATCTCAAGGTCTCAGAGTAAGAATATCTTATATCAGAGACGTTTCAGTTCAGTTTTAAATAACCAATCTCCAATCATCTCCAACAGGCAAATACCAATTTCTGGAAAGGGTTCTCGATTGGAGAGGAAGAAACTGCTGGATAAAAAGAAGGGCAAAGTTATTCTTGAAGAACAACCTGTTACCCTTGGGGGTATTGTTATAAATGATTCCACAAATTTCACAGGAAATTTTTCCAGGAATACATCTTCTCAACAAATCATAAATACCGCAAGTGCTAATCAAGGGTGCAATTCCCATTCACAGTTACATAAAACTATAAATAAATTTAAAGGTACATATTATATTCCAAGTTTATCTTTTCTTTTCAAGGGTTGTTGTACTTAACAGTTACACAGACTGATTTGACATTAAGATAATAGATAGATCTAAAGAAGTACCTGTATTATTATATTTTTTTCATACGAATTCACATTGTATGAATTTGTCAGCTGCTTCAGTTGAGATTTTGTTTGCAGAATCATCTATAACCCATCGAATCTCAGCCAGTCAATCAAAAAAGGGTTTGCGACCTGGAAAATACCAAATCAACCACATAAATTTCACTCAGATAAATACATGTAAGGTTGAATCAAATGTAAATACATATATTATTCCCAGTAAGTTTCACTTTTCTGACAATAAAATCCCACATTATTTGTGTTTTGTAGAATATGATGATTTCGGAGATCCCACGTATTTATGTGAATATTGCTGATCGAATATGTGGTATGAAGAAAGAGTAAACAAGTACAGGAAACCTTAGCAGCCTAAATTTTCTATACGTTGCAAACAAGGAAGAATACATCTCACGTTGTTAACTGAACCACCTCCAAAGTTAAAAGAATTATTATTCATTTCTAATATTGAGAAAAGTAAACACTTCTTGGAAAATATTCGAGCATATAATAATATGTTTGCTTTTGCTTCTATGGGTGGTAACATAGTCAGTTCAATTAATGATGGTCGTGGCCTTTATGTGTTCAAAATGCACGGACATAACAGCCATTTGATGGGTAGTTTACTTCCAGAAGACAATGAGAAGCCCAAATTTTCTCAATTATACATATATGACACCCAGAATGAAATCAGTAACAGAATTTGAGTTCTAAGGTACTTTCAATTTATTATATGCATAGTAAATTATATATTACGTAATTCTCGAACTATCATGTATTTTTCTTTAAAATTACATGATGATTTTGTGGTCTCATTTAATTGCAATTCAGGAAAAAAACAAACAAAAACATAGGAACTTGGCAGTCGGATTGTGGACGACATAAAGTCAACAATGGATGAACATACAGGAAGGTGCGTGACACTGTTCAGACAGACGGTTCAAATGAGATTAGACTTAAGCTAATTTCAACTAGAGATACTGATGCTCGAACGCATAATCTACCTTCTGTTGATGAAG